TACTGTTCCGAAAGACAGCTTTCCGGTCGACCCTTTCGCCGGTCGATCTCTTCTTCCAACTTTCCATCATTAGTAAATACACTAGTAATACTTGAGCTTCTCTACCTGATTTCTGCCGGCCTTATTTCTGGGTCTAATAGAATATCCGGACGATTAGCCGACATTTCTTTTTCAGCTTGTTTTGGAAGCTAGGCTCAATAGAAATGTCGAGGCTAGATCATATGTCGCCGAGCGGGTCTGCAGATTGCAGATAATAAGATAGTCTTCACACATGAGGGTTTGTTCAGAAGTAAGCAGAGAACCCGACGAACAAGAAATCACAATCAACCTGACTACAGGGCTACGAGTCAAGGCGCGACGAGTCAACTTCTCGAAAAATTAGCTCTAGAAAATACCGCAAGATCCCATAACAGCGCGATGATACGGCGAGTACATGTCACCATCAAATAAGCATGCTACCAACTCAAACGACTCGTAGCCGGTTCCAAACCCGGTTGAGGACAATACATTGGCGTCACACAGACAGCCTGAGGTAAAAACCAGTGCCAAGGCCAAATACGATGAGTCAATTTACCTCTAGAAGAAATCCTACGGCGTTCCTCACAGGCGAAGCGCAGCAGCAAATCCCGGTGGCTGTGAGAAATCAGAACGACCATTGCAATCACGGGAGAGTGAGAAAATGTGAAGAGACACTTTGGAACATCGGAACAATGACGGGAGTTAGTTCCTTCAGAAAAGAAAAGTTCAGATCGCTTGTATTCAGGAGAGGAAAGGGAAAGGCGAGAAATCGAAACAGATTGGGTTAGGCTAATAACTTATTTACTGTGGAATATCAAAAAGAAATGTAGTTGGAGTGGTATTGAATAAAGCGACCAAAAGCAGGATATTATAAAATAACCGAACAAACGATAGATTCGTGGGCGTTAAGCTGACTTTAAAAAGTGGTATCTTAAATATAATAAGTGCCTACGCCCTCCTCCCCAGACTGACCAGAAATGGGGAGGAGGGAATGGGCACGTCGGGAAACAACAAAGGGATTGCGATAGGATCTATGGCGGACATGGACATGGTATGTTAAATAAAGAAGAAGAGAAAACATGTTGCAGGTGGCAGTTGATCTGGCTCTGGTAAACACCAGAAGAGAAGAAGAAAAGAGAAAAGAAGAAACCACCTGGTTTTTCCAGAAAAGAAGAAACCACCTGGTAACCTACGGGTAGAAGAGAAGTCAGATCGACTACTTTCTACTTCGAAAGGACGAACTTAAGAACGTCGGAGATT